AATACGACACATGCTCACCATATGGAACCCCTATCTTCGCAAACCCGTCTTCTCGCAGCTCATTTTCGCAGATCCACCCCTGGGTGGCTGAGCCGCCAGAGCGCCGACAAAAGAGCCGCGCCGCAAGCGTTGCTGCTTTCGACATGTGATTTGCCATTATTTCACCCCAGCAACCCTGACCATTGCACCGTGTCTGTCCAATGTGCAAGGTTCATGGTGATCGACAAAATGGCATGCATCGAGCGGGGTGCGACGCAATTTCCGACGCAAGCAAGCGCCATCGCAAATCATTATTATAAGCAATATCTTCGAAACCGTGCACCGTTCAACGCGCTGATTCATGCGCGCCCGCGGCAAAGTGGCAATGTCATCCCACGTGGCGTTCATCTTGGATGTGCCATTTTCCGAATGCCAACGTCGATGATCCCCGCCAACATAAAGGATATGGGTTGTTCCCGTCTTGGAGCGATTCATCGCCTCATCGATTGCTGCCTCGGGTGTTTCAAAGGAAGGGCCGAGCGCCGCCATTAGCAATTGAGGCTCAGCGTTATCCTTCTTCGTTCCGCTGCCCCTTCATGTTACACTTGTCTCCATCAGAAATATCGTGCAGGGGCCAGAGAACGCGTGCTACATGCGCGCGTTGGCCCGGGGTGAGATCTCCCATGTGGGTCGAAACCTCATTATTCCACTAATCTTGTTTCATCGAGCGATGCAGGGGCGTTCTTCCGCAAGCACCCCCCTTTACTTCTGCGCCCAGACCTTGGGAACTCCCCCGCGTAAAATATTGGGGGGCTCGCAGAATTGCCAGTCGAGGTGATGCGATGGACTAGGTAAGATGTGGAATCGAGCATATTCCTCGTGTTTATCTGTCGAATGAGAACTGCCCCCTTCCGGCTGCAAGTCGCTCGCATCCTCGCTCTGTCCACGCAGCGCGAACAGCGCTGCGCGTTCGGCGCTGAGGTTCTCGGCGCCCGACTATCCTATGGGAACGTGACCCGACAACTTCTCCATGTCGAGATCTAGGTCGACCGATGGCTGAAAGCCCGGATGTACCGACGCCAACTCAGATGGTCCCCCGGCGGGAGATTTGGCGGCGCCATACCTTCCACCCGAAGTTTGTGCTCTGGACCTTGTCGCCGAGTCAACCGAGGGGCCTACTTCTGCCAAGTCAAACATAGCCTATGATGCTTGCTCTCTGGGAAGATTGAGAGAATTTGGTAGCCTCATGGAGGCACCTGCACTTTCGTTGCGCTCGCGAGGATCCTGATCTTCTGTTCGTCCGAACGCTCCTTCTTGTGATCCCATGCTCTGCGAATCTAACGGCTGTGCCGTCGTTTCGGCTGATAAGCAGTCTTATTCCTGGAAATTCATAATCCCTGCAATATGTCCAGATAGTGTCTCATGGTCAATGGGCTCCGCCGATGGCATGGGAAAGAAGGGATAATGCCGTCAAACATAAAATAGGCGAGCACTAAGAAGGGCAGATGCCAGCCCGTCGGCCGACGCACACGCGCGCGCCGCAGGCTCGCCCCTTTTCAGTTTCCCTAAAGCCAAAGTGGTATAGCTGCTGAAGCAGAAGCAGTCAGTTCATCGGGCAGCGCGCGCAAGGCAAAGGAGCAGAAAGGGCTAAAGGACGGTGGTGCGGAAGGGGTGCACTGACTGAAACAGGAAGAAGTTGTGCAGTGACAGCAAGCGTATACGCAATATTGTGCTTTGTTATGTTCGATTCGATATGCGCCGCTGTCGTGTTATGATATATTGTGTAATACTGTGTCATGGGATGGTTTGTTCTGACGTTGTAATCCTCTCTACTACCGCCGCTGCTGTCTCCCAAAGCGTTGGACCGTATTCCATGGAGTATCTCTCTGACATGTTATGCTCGGCTATGTCAAATTATGTTCTCGACGGGCGGGCGTGACGTCGTGACGCGTGGGCGACACCGTCGGGTTGTGTCGACTGTATGTGCGATGCTGTGCTAAAGTGTGTTCGGGTGTGTGTGTGTGTGGTATGATTCTACCCCTGTGTAAAATGTGACTCTGTATTCTCTGACGTTATGATACCGACGGGCTGACGTGACGTCGTGACGCCTGTCACGCTAGACACCGCCGTATCGTTCATTGCTGTGACTCTTGTCTCCTGTGGCGACGCTGACCAACATGCACGTACGGTGTACTGTGTGACGATGTCCCTCTGCCCTTCCGTTATCTCATTCATGAAAGTATGCTCTGCCATGCACGTTATTGCTTCAGTATGCGTTGGCACATGATGTTTTACTCTGCCCTTTGACACCATGCTAGGGCATGACAGGCTCTCTCAACTTATGTTATACTATGATACGTTATGTCATGGTGTTGCCCGCTCGGCCCAGTATAGTAAAAATATGGTATGGTATGCTCGTATGTTTTGCTATGCCCTGTTGTGTCGTGGTACTCCTCTCCTCCACTGCACTGTTGCCGAATATGTATTCAAAAACGGCGCATCCGTGTTCAATGTAGTAACAATATTTCATAGTATGCTGTATTAAATCCTCTTCTGGTGTCGGCGGGCTGGCGTGACGTCGTGACGCCTGTGACGTTAGATGCGCCGTCTGTTGTGTTGCCCCTCTTCACCTGTATGTTCCTCCTCTGGTAGAATATGAAATATTATGGTCATACCTGTCACCATGTGGTTGGAGATACCATGGTATGACCTGAGTTTGCTGCACTATGTCATTGCATACTATGCTGACAAAGTATGTTATAGGTTGCTCTGCTCCGTGATGCTGCTGACGGCTCGGCTGAGTGCATTCTGGTGCCGTGTTATGATATGTTACATAATCCTGTGTCATGATACGAAGTGGCCTGCCAATGTGTGTTATGGCTTGCTCAGATATATTGTGTTATGTGGTGTTGTGTCGTCGTCTGTTCTATCATGCTGTGCTCTGGTATGTTATGTGATGTTGTGTTTGTGGACGGCTCGGCGCAGTATGATATAGTACGACCTGCTTTGCTAGTATGTGGCGATATGCGATACTGCCGTTTATGATATGATCTGCGATGAAGTGCAATGATATGTGATGCCCTGCCAACGTGTCTTATGTGTGCCTCGGTTATGGTGTGGTATGCTGTGTTATGTCGACTTATGTTCGACCATGCTATGATGTGATGTGTTATGTGATGTGATGTCATGCTCTTGTTGTGTCATGATATTGCTATGGTATGCTCTGTAATGTTATATCATGATCGTGTTATGTTATGTAATCTTATGGTGTGACATGTTTTGCTCTCGCGTGTTCGCCGCGATGCTCTGCTGTCGTCGTACGATATGTGGTGACGCTGTGTCATGATATGACATGTGCTGTCAATGTGTCTTAACTTATGCTCAAGTATGTTATGTTACGTTGTGTTATGTCGTTGTCTGTTCTGTCATGTTCTGCTCTGGTATGTTATTTGACATGCTGATGCCCTCTATTTTGTCATGATAATGATATGTTATGTTCTGCCATGTTCTGTCATGCTTTTGCTCTGTTCTATCATGTTATGTTGTGCCACATTGTGCTCTGTCGTGTTTGTCGAGGGCGCGAGGCGGGATAACCGGGACACTCGGGACAACTTGGGGTCTGGCGGCCGCGGTATGCAGGGTGTGTTCTGTCGTGTTTGTCGAGGGCGCGAGGCGGGATGACTGGGACTCTCGGGACAACTTGGGGTCTGGCGGCCGCAGTATTCAGGGTGCGTTCTGTCGTGTTTGTCGAGGGCGCGAGGCGGGATAATCGGGCCACTCGGGACAACTTGGGGACTGGCGGCCGCGGCATGCAGGGTGTGTTCTGTCGTGTTTGTCGAAGGCGCGAGGCGGGATAACCGGGACACTCGGGACAACTTGGGGTCTGGCGGCCGCGGCATTCAGGGTGGGAGTGGCCGTGAGGTCTGTTCTTAAAATCTAACGACCCAAACTTGTCCGGTGGAGAAAAACACACGACGGGCGTTTCTTTCCTGTTTCGGGCCCCGAGAGACTGCCGGGTCGATCTGGCTCGATACAGCCACAACCGTACCCATTGGCGCACTGAGGCATGGTATATTGAATTGCCAAGCGCTTTTCTGGTAGGGATGATGCAAACGATCCAAGGGCCGCGACCCGCCCCCCCCACCCATCCACCAACGTATCACGCGACGCTGCGTGCATCCCCCACCCACCCTCCCAATGCTCTGGTCGGCCCGACGATACCCTGTGGCTCTCCTAAGCTCTCGAAGGCCTCCCAGACAACCCAGGAAGGCCACCAAAGCCGCTAAGATGGCTCAACATTGCCTGCAGAGGCACCCAGCAGTCCCTACGAAACGCCCAATCGGTCCCAAAAGGCCTGCTATACACCCCCCAAATGCTCTCGAGTAGGGCATCGGAGAAACCCAACACATAGATGTCTGTTTGTGATGCGTGTCGGTTTCCACGTTTTTCGGTCGAAGATTGCTCCACCTGCAGTCCTCGAAAATTCAGTAGGGCCTACTGAGAGCCCAACGATGGCCCCGAGACGGCCTCAAGAGAACCCAAAAATGGCCACCGAATGTACCCGAAACGGCTGAAGGAGGCCCAGAAACGGACTAAGAGGGCCCCAAGGTCGTCCCTCGACGGCGCCAAGAGACCCCTCAGACAGCCCAAATCCCAAATGGCCCCAAGACAGTCAAAGCGGGCCAAGAGACGGACACAGACGGCCCCATGACAACCGAAGAGGCCCCCAAGGGGACCCCCAAGATTTGCCCCACGGGAGCCCAAGACAGCCCCAAGACGGCCCAGATAAGTCCCATGAAGGCTCCTCGACAGATGGAGACGGGGTGTCACATGTGACGGCCGTCTGGGCGATGCTCGGTGCGTCGCCACATGAAGGGCTTCACTGGCACGGTGGCGGAGTTGCCAGCTCATGGGCCACGTAAAGGCGGACGATAGTATCGCGATATATCTCTGGTCGCGATGTTCTACGACGCCGTGAATCTGTTCAAGACGTCTGACGTGGGAGGAGGGTAGACGCGCTCCTGCTCGAGGAGGACCATCCGTGTCTTGACCATCTCCGCCCGCTGCCCCAAGCGCGAGACTTGCTCCATCAAGGGCTCAAATCCTTGCTGGCCGTGTTCGCGCTTGATCAGCCCCTCGAGTCTGTTCAAATTGCCCTCCAAAACCATGATGTCCTGGCTTGTATGCTCAGATAAAACCCGGGTGAACCCTGTGACGAATTCACGTCGCGATAGTTTCCCGCTTCCATTGGCATCAAGAGCGTTGAACAGCTGAACCATCTCGACCTCAGTCACCTGCACATCCTTCTTGTCGAGTTTTTCCTGCACTTGGGAGGCGCTGATGTGGGCTTTGAACTCCTCCAGATCCACCAAATCGTCATTCGTCTTGTCGGCCTCTTCGAACTGCCTCTCGAGCGTCTTCGCAAGGTCCTGCACCAACTGATCCGTGCTCCCCTCTTCGGCCTCCAGCCTTGCCTCGTTCAGCTGGTCTGCCATGATGCCCGTAATCAGGGAGAGGAACGTATACGCCGACAACATCATGAAAGAGATCCAGACGAACTCCATCCACCAAAAGACCGAATTGATGGTCCGTGCGACCCCTCCCCAATCGTCGAACGTCAACCAGGTGAAAAGGGTCTGCAATGCTGCCGGAATGTTGCCGAACTTCTCGAAGACGACGTCGGACACTGAGTTGCCATCCTCGTCTTCCTCCTCGGAATGCCGCGGGAAGTTCTTGACGACGTTGACGATCACCACCGCGTACATGAAGGTGACCACGAAAAAGATCACCGTCGCCCAATATGTGGGCTCTATCGAATTCCGCATGCCATCGACCACAAACTTCGCCCTGTCGCTGCGCAAAAGCCTGGCGGTGCGCAGCAGCCTGGTCAACCGGGAGACTCGCCCAATCTGAGAGGCCACGTTGATACGATCGGCGTGCGCACCTGCACTGAATGCCGTGCTGAAGTGAGAGATAATCATGATTGGTAAGAAACAGAGACCCAAACACACTATGACAAAATCAAAAATGTTCCAACCCTTATCCTCGTTGGTGAAGAAAGCGCAACCGTATGCAGACAGCCGGAGAGAAATCTCCACCAAAAAGAAAAGACCGAAAACAGAGTTCATAAGCTGAAACCCTGGCATCCAAGATGGCTTTGACGCATCGGCCTCGCATGCAATTACTACAGTATTGAGGATAATCGCGACAAACACAAGATTGCTGAACCACTTGGATTCCACGAATTCCATCATCGCCGACTTTTCCTCGGGCTCATCTTTCGAAATCTCTCCGTCTAAAAAAGCCTCTTCCTTCAAATGAACCGTCAGGGCGCTGCCACCCTCGCGCATCAAGACCAGCGAGTTGGCCAGATTGGATGCGCCAGCCTCGTCGCTGGCCGCCGCTTGATTGGTCGGAAAAGCACCTGCCCTGTGCGCGTTCAGCAACGACATGTGCCCGTAAGTGGCTGGCACCCTCCCCAATGGAACCTGGCGAGAAGGTAACGCCGCGGGCATCGCGGGGCCCGCCAACGGCGCTGGCTGGATCTGTGCCCCGTGCACGATCCGGGCGCGCGCAGTCCGGGCGCCATTCGTCGCCATGTTTGGCATACACGCCATGGCCTGTGCCACGCCAAGCCAGCCCTTGGAGGCTGCCGCTACGGCCCTTGAGCCAGAATGGCTGGTTATTCTGATTAATTCGCGGACAGTGCGACGCTCGACTACGTGCTCCGTTCACAACTATTGCTGCTTGCTCTCCGAAGCCGCCAAGGCTGCAATCCCCAACAATATCAGGAAATGTGCGTGCAACAGTGTGACGGAGGTGGTTCCACATGATACATTTGGCGACCAAATATTCGGCCCACTTGACTTGAAGTCCACGATGAAGAATTCAATGAACTTGCCCGTCCAAGCGGTCTCGGGGAGCTGAGATATCGTACGACATTTTATCTAGCTCATAAGGCCATCCTTCGTGTGACAAGGAATTGTTTTGGGGGGGGGTGACGAACATGCGTTCCGATGAGAATTTCGACTAAGTGGATTTTCGTTAGCAGCTGCATGTTGGCTTGCATGTCGACTGCAATTGGACTTGCATGTCGATTGCATTTCGATGTTGATTTGAATATCGGCGCACAATTCGATGTGACTTCCGCTTGATATTGGTTTTGCATTCAGCGTCGTCGTCCAAGTTGCACTCCAAATGCAAATGGGTGTATGTACGCACAACAATCATGTAACCACCAACTTGACCCGAAATCCCAAACCCGACTTCTGGGAGTTCCCGGGCGCTTCTTCGCGCACTCGGGAATCGCCGCGTGACTTGTCCCTAAGCCGTGGGAATGAGACAAAGGGTCTAAGATGGTCCAAGGAATTGTCCCGGGGTTCGTACGTGCGCTTGGTATTGCCAACTATCCGGTCTTAAAAATGTGGAAGGCGGCTCGAGGAGGTCCCGAAGGGTACAGATCGCCCGGGCGGAAGGCTACCCTAGGCCGTACCAAAGGGCCTAGGTTAGCCAACGGTAGGCGCTACCCAAGGGCCTGGGGTAGGCCCTACCCAAGGGCCTAGGGTGGAGCAAGGGTAGGTCCTACCCAAGAGCCTAGGGTAGGGCAATGGCCCGTAGGGCCTACCCAAGGGCCCAATCTCTGCCTCCCCCTCCTCCTCCTCCTCTTCCTCCTCCCCCTCCTCCCTCCTCCTTCTGCCTCCTGCCTTCTACCTCCTGCCTCCTCCTCCTCCTCCTCCTCCTCCTCCTCCTCCTCCTCCTCCTCCCTTTCCTCCTCTTCCACCCTCCTGCCTCAAGTTGCATTTGGACTCCACGCGCATTCGGGCGCCTGCGAGCCTGTCCCGAGCCTCAGCGAGGCGCACTTGTGGGCTGCCGCGTCGCCTCACGCGGCGGTGGCGGATTCGGGGCGAATGGGCCGCTCCTCCTCGCGCAGCCGCGCTGCTGGTGGCGCCTCTGGCCAGAGCGTGAAGTTCTCTGATCGCCAGGGTTGGACCAGGTGCCAAGACTGCCGCTTGTGTGAGTGGAATGCGAAGTGGGAGGAGCGCGGCTGGAAGTGCAAGTGCGGCTGTGAGGTCAAGCCGTACGTCCGTGGCACCTCTCAGTCACGCCGCCGCGCTGGCAAGGGCAACAACGCCAACACTTTGCTGACGCCAGGTGCGGCCCTTGACTTGGTCAGCAGCGCTGGTGGCGCCGACCTGCCGCCCGAGGTCAAAGCAGCGCTGGAGGTGGTCACGACGCACGTCAAGACCACCTCGGCACCGCATGCGTCTCCTTCCTCGGCCGAAGACGCCTTCCGAAAGGCGGCGGGCGAATGGAAGGACGTCAACCGCAGGCACGGCGCAGCGGTCGAGGCTGTCGTTCGTCTTGAAGGGCAACTGCAGACAGCCAAGGAGCGCGAGGCGGAGCTAGCCATCGCGCTGGTCCAGGCGACGGAGCTGAAGCAGCGGACTGCAGCGGCCATCGCCTCGATGTCCCGCACGGGCAAGCCTGGCACAGGCCAGTTCTCGGCGGAGGCACCCGCGGATGGCGAGGCTGGGCCGTTGTTTAACTTGTCCTGGGATGAGGCGAATTTCCAGGACATCGACGAGCTCACGCCCGAAGAGCAGAGGCAGATGGAGGACTTCCAGAAGACGCTGGTCGCCGAGAAGGAGCGCCTGCGGACGGTCTCGCAGGAGGTCCAGCAGAAGCTCGACGCTGCTCGCCAGCTCGCCAAGGAGCAGGCCGCGCGGAACCTGAACAAGCGGAAGGGCCACAGCGGGGAGGCGGCCACGGCCAGGGATTCCGACCCTGGTGGCGCTGCAGTTGGGCACGGCGGCGCTGCGGGTGCCCCCCACGCGGCGCACGACGCCGCGGCCGTCGGGGCGGGCGCCACCGCCGCCGGAGCTGCTGGGGCTGCCGCTGCTTCCAGCACGCGTGCTACCACGGATATCCCTGCTGCGGCCAAGACGGAAGCCGAGAGGCTCTCCCACGCGAAGCTGCAGGCGGCTCGCGCCGCCGCGGCCGCCGCGGCCAAACCCGGCGACAAGCCCAAGGCGAAGGCTGGCGGTGGCGGTGTTGGCGACGGCGGGGCTCTGGCCTCGTGACTATCTCTAGCTTCTTCCAATCCAGGGTTAGAGGCCGGCGCCGGTGCAGGCGGCGCTCTTCGTCGTGTGGGTGACGGAGGCTCAGTTGTACCAGATCGGTCTCAGCATGATCTACAAGGAGTCGAACGCTCTGGCAATCCACGTCTTGTGGGCGACGTGGCCCAGCCAGCAGGTGTTCGGCGAGTTTTTTTCTCCTATATCACTTGCATGGGTCCTCAAGCGCGGGGATTTGTCCAGGAGCACGGCAGCAAGTTCGACTGCCTGTGCTTCGCCGAGACCCACGTTCGGACGGCCAAGCAGCTCGCTAAGTGGAGGCAGGACGCGAAGGCCGCAGGGTGGAGGATCATGGCCATGGCCGCTAGGGCGCACACTCTTTCAGCGAGGAGTGGCAATGAGGGCGGCGAGTGGATTATGTGCAAGCTCCAGCAGCATGCGCACACCTTGGCTGCAGTTCGCCTTGCCCCGTGGGCGTTGCGCGCCTCAGGGCCCAGCGACCTCGATGGGTTCCACGCCAGCGTGCTGCGCCACAAAGGGTACAGCGTGGTCGTCGTCACGTTCTACGGCCACAGCTCGACAGGCTGGCGCGGCGCGAACCTCGGTAGGTTTGCGCGATTAGGCGCCCTTCTCACGGCGCTCGAGTTGCCGTGGCTCGCGCTGGGCGACTTCAACCTAAGCCCGGAGATCCTGGACCAGCACGGGTTCCTGGAGCAGGTCAGCGGGCGCGCGCTGAAGGCCGCCGCCAGCATCGCCTGCGACGCGGGCCAGCACGGGTCGCACATAGATTTCGGGCTCTGTTCGGAGTCGTGCTTGCCGCACATCTTGGGCATTCGCGGCGTCCAGGCCGCGCCGTGGAAGACGCATTGTGGGTTGGTCGTCTCTTTTCGCGGCTCGGGCGAATCTCTGGTGACGCGCGAGCTGCGGTTGGCGCCCCTGCCCCCGCAGGTCCAGCGGCCTAGCCGTGCTGAAGTCAGCTCGGGCGCCCCGTCGGTTCGTCGGGCGGCGATGTTCCCAGAGAAGCTGGCTTGGGCTGGCGAGCAGTCCACGGAGGCCAGCGACTCCGACGACGATGGCGGCGGCGACGTCGTCTCCGACTCGGACAGCGATTCGGACGCGCCGCGGGATGACGATCTTGACTTCGATGCTGACCGCCAGCGGGATTGCGCGGCTCCTGCCCCCGCTCGCGCTAGCGTTCGCTTCATCGACGGGGGCGACTTCGAGGCGCCGACGGGCAGCCTGGGCACCTTCGGCCAGTCCCCGTTTCTTCGCAGTCCAGGATCCCCGTCTTCGGGGGTTCGGCCTCCTCGACCTGTTCATGCTGATGCGGTCCTCTACGGAATTGACAGTGTCGCTGCAGAGAGTGGCACAACGCAGGCTTCGAGCCTCCATGCTACCCGGCGTGCGTCGCAATCCTCGCGCCCCACACCGTGCTCGAGGGCTTCGTCATCGGTGTTTGATTGCACACCCTGTGGACATCCCGTTCCTTCCTCTGGCTGTTCGGGGGGGCCTGGAGGTCATGGGGTCGGAAATCGAGCCCCTTCAGAGTACGTGTGCAAGGACGTCCAGGAGCGCGTGGACACGGTTTCAGCTCCTGTTCGGCCCCTGCAGCACGCGGATGGTTCTCGTCGCAGTGACGGTCTCGACGACCCCGACGGCGACGCCTTCGTAGACTCGGACAGGGAGCTCACTGGCGCGGACTGTTTCTCGGGCGCGTCATCGGCATCTGGGCCGCGCTTGGGGGTGCACGAGTCAGGCGTCGGCCCCCCCTCGGCTGAACCCTCCCCGGCCCCGCTCCGCGAGCGGCTGCAGCATGGGGAAGGGGAGGCAAGTGGCGAGGACTTTCAGAGGCGGGCATCGACTTGGGCAACCCATCGACCATCGGCGACGACATCAGCTTCAGCGTCGACGAGGAGTTGTGGCATGCTGAGAGTCGCCTGTTTGTTTCTGGCCCTCCGCCTTGGGCTGTGGCGCAGGACTCCATTGCCTTCCGCGTCGGGGGGCCCTACGTCCGCGAGATGGGCGGGGCCTGCGCGCAGTGGGTCAGTTGCGCTGAGCGAGTCGTCCGGCAGCATCACCAGCTCGCCCTTGCTCCCCGACACTCGGCGAGGTCGCGCGGCGCCACGATGGTCGAGTGCCCGTGCAAGCCGAGGCACCGCGACGAAGCTGTTCGGGGCGCCGGCGTTGTCTGGCGGGCGCATGTGCACACTGTTACAGGGCGGCTTGTTAATCTACTTCGGCGAGTTCGCCGCGCTGGCGACTCTGGCGATCGGCGCACGCTTCCTGCAGAGGGCTGGCCGCCAGCGCCCCTGAGGGCGCGCGATGGTGTCTTCGCTCTCGAAGAAAGGGCAGGGCCACTCTGTCTTGGCAGCAAGTGCGCGGTCTCCTCCTCCACGCCCGCCGGCCTTCCGCTGACCAGCTGGACTCTCTGGCCGCCACCGCGGCAGCCGTGCCAGGCACAAGGTGCTCGCGCAGTCGCTGCGCACCTTCCAAGAGTGGATCACCACCGCGGAGGCCTCGCCCGTGCTCTCCCGACCCCTGAA